TGTGGAATATTTGCGCGGAGTTTCTCATAATATTAACCCTTGAGTTAAAATTACATTATAATAAAATGATACTGTAAAAAAATGACAGTTTAATTAAATTGAGTTATAATAAAATGCGCCATGATTAAATTGTCGTATAATATAATGAACAGTAATGAATTGTGCGGTAGTGAAATGGAGTAATGAATTGTACTCTAGTAATCCAGGGCAATACCTCAAAACCCGCGTGTTTACTGTAATTCACACACGGGTTAGAATGTCCTGTTTTCCAGCCTTGGTGCACAATCTACTATTTTTTGCCACTACACATGAGAGAAAAATCGTACGAAGGCCATTTCTTTATTGTAGAACTTTCAAATTTCAGTAGTGTAACCCCTTAATCGGTAGTGTGGTTTCCAAGATTTTTCAATTTTTCAAAATTCCATTTCTTGATAATTACTCAAAATACAATAGTTTAAGTCGATTCAATTGTGGTTTGCAAATATTCGTTCCAATGTCAACCGATGCGAGTTCAGAAATGGTGCCCATCGCATTATTAATTTCCAAATATATATCCATAAGGAAGAGAAATCACGAAATTAAGGCTCACGAGGGTCAACTAAAAAATTCAGACATGAGCATCATAAGATTCTAAGAATCCAGATCTATAGATAGTAGGATCTAAGTAGGAGTAGGAGTGGGATCTAAGTAGGATCTATTAGTAGAAGCTAATGCACTCCGAAAGTTCAACAGGATCATCAACTGTGGCAAGATGCATTCAAGGCATGCCCTCCTTACTGAAGTGGAAAGCGACTCTCGGAGCCGAACATACAAGGTCGTGATCAAAAGTTAATCTACACCATCGTCGACGTATTCCCAGCTCATGAACAAAATTGTCGTGGCTCATCGTACTGTAGAATAAGGAGATGAAGTAATGGTTTCCCCGATCACCGCGGAAAAGTTGTTGAAAGCTTGCAAGTGAGTGCTTACCCCCAAATCCTTGGTCTGGATGGAATCGCCACTGGCGCGCTGAAGTCAACTGTTCATGCGCAGCCGGGACTGTTCTTGGATACACATAATCAGTGTTCCGAGGCGGCACCTTCCCTGCCAAGTGGAAGCAGTAAAGGCTACCATCTCGTCGACAAGTTTCTGGGTGCATCATCTATGAGAGAACACAAGTAGTAGTAACCGCTGTTAGCCGATAACCAATACGATTTTGGAGAGGCCTAACCATTCTTAATGCTGTCAATGTGGAAGACCTCTTTTAGCAGGAGATAAATTCATCGTCTAATCCAGCAGATCGGTGTGTAGCTAAACCTTAATCATGTCGAGATTAAATATCACCTGACACAATGCTTTCAGGTCATAGGTGCTTCCGGGCTTATCTTTATAGCTTTAAATATAAGGAGTCTCCAAAGGGCTGGACCTACACAAGCGAGGACAAAAATCCCAGAAAAGACAAAACCGCGACTCCTGGGAGTCTGCAGTTAGAGGAAAGATCTCCCCTAAAAATTTAAGACAATTTTTGCTTTCATAAGGCACTTTGGAATGCACCGAGCAAGTTTGCAGCAAAACTCATGAAGAAGCTCAGACAAGAGAAATACAAGCATAAAAGCAGAATAGATTCCAGATAAAAATTGAGAATTGCAGTCAGCTAGCTGCTGGTTCTCTTGCGAGGCAGAAGCCAGCTGTTGGGTAACTGAGTTGGGATGTGTTCGGGTGTGGTAGCGATGCTTAAAAACCCAGCCAGTGGCTTGCGCAGTTATCCATCACTGCTGAGTAAAATTCACCTACAAATTGGCTAGATCTGCTGGCCATGGGTAACCTTGCTCCACGGGTTCAGTCAATGTTTAAATAAATGATCCAATATATTTATTTCTTCAGTATATTATGACGAACAGTTACATATTGCCTTGAAAACTTATGACTAAATGAATAAATTGTTAATGTTGTTTAATTACATTATTATAACAAGNAAAAAAAAAAAAAAAAAAAAAAAAAAAAAAAAAAAAAAAAAAAAAAAAAAAAAAAAAAAAAAAAAAAAAAAAAAAAAAAAAAAAAAAAAAAAAAAAAAAAAAAAAAAAAAAAAAAAAAAAAAAAAAAAAAAAAAAAAAAAAAAAAAAAAAAAAAAAAAAAAAAAAAAAAAAAAAAAAAAAAAAAAAAAAAAAAAAAAAAAAAAAAAAAAAAAAAAAAAAAAAAAAAAAAAAAAAAAAAAAAAAAAAAAAAAAAAAAAAAAAAAAAAAAAAAAAAAAAAAAAAAAAAAAAAAAAAAAAAAAAAAAAAAAAAAAAAAAAAAAAAAAAAAAAAAAAAAAAAAAAAAAAAAAAAAAAAAAAAAAAAAAAAAAAAAAAAAAAAAAAAAAAAAAAAAAAAAAAAAAAAAAAAAAAAAAAAAAAAAAAAAAAAAAAAAAAAAAAAAAAAAAAAAAAAAAAAAAAAAAAAAAAAAAAAAAAAAAAAAAAAAAAAAAAAAAAAAAAAAAAAAAAAAAAAAAAAAAAAAAAAAAAAAAAAAAAAAAAAAAAAAAAAAAAAAAAAAAAAAAAAAAAAAAAAAAAAAAAAAAAAAAAAAAAAAAAAAAAAAAAAAAAAAAAAAAAAAAAAAAAAAAAAAAAAAAAAAAAAAAAAAAAAAAAAAAAAAAAAAAAAAAAAAAAAAAAAAAAAAAAAAAAAAAAAAAAAAAAAAAAAAAAAAAAAAAAAAAAAAAAAAAAAAAAAAAAAAAAAAAAAAAAAAAAAAAAAAAAAAAAAAAAAAAAAAAAAAAAAAAAAAAAAAAAAAAAAAAAAAAAAAAAAAAAAAAAAAAAAAAAAAAAAAAAAAAAAAAAAAAAAAAAAAAAAAAAAAAAAAAAAAAAAAAAAAAATTATTATAACAACTATATCCTTAAATATGAAAATGATGACTAAGAATTTTTTGGTATTTTTCAGCATATGAAAAAATTTCATTGCAAGACCGAGCGCATCAGTTGGAAAATTGTATTGAATTTTTATTGAAATTGCATTGAAAATAATATTTGTTTTTCCCTGGGAGAATCTCCCAGTTTTTTCACCCAATTCATATTTATACAGATGTTGCACCAGAATTTTCAGTAGAATTTTATAGTAGATATGATAGGCTTTTCAATCTAATTATACATTTGTTCAACCGCTGGTGAACACTTGGGTCAATTTTCGGTCATCTTCATTTAATGAGTCACTAGGGGAGCGCGGAGTGAAGTGCAACGTTTTGTGATCGCCTCTAATTACCAATATTTCGTTTATAACTGGAAATATTGACATTCGGAGATCACAAAACTTTTCACTTTGCCCCGCCTTCCCCTACGAGATTCAAGAAAATCTACCATTACAACGACTAAAATTTTCTGAAAATAATATGTAACAGGGGTAGACCCGCATAATTTCTAAATATATTTTGCTATTCTTAACATTGACGTCAGATAAAATCATCAAATTTTATCTTGCGATTTTCACAGCGGAATGAAATTCTAAAAAAAATCGATGGCCGTCATTTTCTGCTGAAATTACTTAGCGTCAGTTTAAACTAGAACAATGGAACGAAAATATTTGGTCATTCTACTTTTCTCAATCGAACTACGTAAGAGATGTTATTTTCGATTGCAAGAAGATTGTTGAATAATTCTACAATTACACAGTGAAAGAAAAGTTTTGAAAAAGTTTTTACATAATGTATTGGTAATTTTCTGGACTGATTTTTCATTTTTGAGAAATCCATTTCTAATTATCAGGAATTCTTGATGATAACAAGAATTACCTTGAACTTTAGGGATTTTGTCACTAAGATTAAGGCAGAAAAATCATGGTGTGACGTTTCTGCAAATAACTGACAAAAGCCTTTGATTGAATCTATGAAAACTCAAATTTTGCATCCTATGTAGATGTGTGTGTGAAATAGTTTACAAACTATTAAAAATAAATAGTATATTTTGATTTCCATCTATAAAACAATCTTCTTCCAAAAATTTTCACAGAGCACATTTGAATAAAACGAGGTGATGGTTTTTTTTTGTCGGGACCAGTCCGATAAAGGCTGTGGCAGAAGTCCAATATCGTATATGGCCATTTTTTCTCGAAGATCTTCTAGAAAGAAAAAATACACTGGTATTGTCTATAAACATGATTTCTGCATGTTTTATAACATTTGGAGCCATTTTCACTCAAAGTTACAGAAGCGAAGAAAATATCGATTACCAAACTTCCTTCCAGAAGTAAAACATAATAAACCGATTCATCCCTAACGGTGGATTACAAGGTCATGTCAATAGCAATTGCTTTTTAAAGAAAATGGTGGCAACAGTTTCGGTTGCAAATTTTCGTGGTACGAAAGAAACTTTTGGTATTTTAATCTCAAATTCTCCCCTTCGGAAATGATAAGAACCTTGTCATATTGCACATATAACGTTTTACCACTCCAATTTAAAATTTACATTTAATTATTAAACTCCATCGAAATTATTGCCAATGTTGATAAATGAAAATAGTTGAATTGATCTAGAGATTCTGTTGGACACGTGGAATTTTGTAAATAAAACTAGCAAGAATGTGCAACAAACCGAGGATTCATTAATGGGATTCGTGATAAAAAATTGGTTGAATTCTAGATCAAGTGTAATGTTGTATTTGCCAAGTGTATATTTGCGCAACCAGTGAAACCTTAGTCGAGTCGGATATATACCGATGAAATTGGCGCGTATCCAAGCGGCGATCTGAGTGAAAGTGGAGGAGTGAGGGTTTCATTCCGGAGGGAAGGGGTTACCATTGAAGGAGGTCGAATTGTTGATAATTTTAGGAATTTTCACTCATCGAAAAAATGGTATTCATGTACTTATTCGTGCATTCCTAATATTTTTGCTCCCGCATTCCTTCGATCCTTACATTTCTACATTCTGAATTCCAAAAGTTCAAAGAATTATGTATCGCACTGAAATGTTTCACAGTTTTTTTTTGTATTGAAACACCTCTAAACTACGTCAAAAGTTGACTTGGAATTTTATTATATAGAGGAATTTTTCCATTAGGTGGCCAATCTCCTGCGGCTATTTCACATCCCCCAAATATCACCGGCCTCAACAGCAAAAGCACTGAGTGATAAAACAAGATTTGACTATTTCGCCCGTACGGTACCACCAGATACCTTCCAGTCAATTGCACTTGTAGATGTCGTTAAGAGTGCTAATTGGTCATACGTATCGACGGTTTACTCCGAGGGATCCTACGGTGAATATGGTATCGAGGTAAACTTTAAAGAACTCTTTACAGCACATTTTGTTCTCCAAGACCGCATATAAAACAATTATCCATAAGATTATTTTTAGTTAATTATTCTGTACTTTCCCAGACAAAATACATTTCAACAATTTCACTTACCATGAAAATTCAACTCTACATGGAAACACTTCGAGCTTGATAAACATACAGCGAAATCTTGTGTGAACCGTTTCATGAATTCATTTGGAAGTTAGTGCCTAAAAGTCACATTTCGTATTTTAAAAAGTAACTTGGGGTTAACTTTTCGGTCATCCTTCTTCAGTGGAACAATACAACCATTCACCAGTACTAAAATTGTAAGAGGTGGAAGGTCGTATGTGAATTTCAAGGGAAGATTTCTAAAACCTTACACTCAAATAAATTCTTTCATTGCACGAAACGTCCACATCAGGCACTCTCAGAGTACTGCACGTACGACCTTTGACTTTATATATTTTTGTTCCTTCCAAAAAAGTTCCAATTGCTCTAATGAACTCTCCACTAAGTCAATCCCATATTACCAAACCACCCCGTGAAACCTAGAACATCGATTTTAACCGGTGTTCAAAGTCGGGCAGATACGTATGTCTGCTGCTTGTTGAGTAATTTATGCAGAAACTGATTTATATGAACTTTTGCCGAAACATTCGCAATATCTTCTTGACTATTGCCTCTAGTTGATTGTTTTTTGATAAGAACACAAAATGAGACAAAAACATTAGAGAAAGAATTACATGATCTGATAAGGGTCCATATCTTCTTGAATTATCTGTGATTTTTTATTGATCGACTCAAATAATTAAGGTCATTTTTTCTAAATAAAATTGAAGATAATGTCTGTACATAATGACCACCCTTTAGAAACCTTCTACCGATACCTGGTCCATTTCTAACCCGAATAAAACAAACAATCTATCATTTGTTAGATGATGGGGATGTACGCAGTTTGCGAACGAACTGAAATAACTATATTTAGACACTCGGAGTATACAACGATTATTGAGGAGGTTTTTGTGCTAGTGTATCCATCCCATCAATTGTACGACAATAGCTGCATCGTATTAGAGTACCTTCTCAGCGATTTATAAATGGTAAAATTTTTCAGTGTTCAAGGGATCCAAAATTTCCATCATATGTTTTCAGCATGTTAAAAAATTTTCACTAAAATTTGAAGTATTTTGTCTGTGGCATTTTTGATAATAAATATTTTGAAAAATTCAGTTTCGGTGTTTTTTCAAGTTTGATGATGCGCATCTTAAATAATGAGTGGAAAAAATGATTGAAGGCCCGGGTGTACTATCTTCCGAACGTTATATAGATTTTTTTGTATTTGATTTTTTATTTACAAAGCCATGCAATTTCATTATGATTTTTTGTCACTAAGAGATCCTCAAAAATTATGATTGTATATTTAAAAAAAACTAGAAAAATTGGGAACATTTTCAAAGAGCCTTTTTGATAAATATTGAGAAATGAGTGAATTGAGGGAGAAATTAGGAATGCGTAATTACCACGGCAAATGGCTGATGTCAGTAAATCGTCGACATGGGGGGGAGGAAACGACAAATCTCCGAATACTCCACACATACATAATTAATCCCAAAATGGCTCTTTGAAAATTTTTTGAATATTTTCATGAATTTTTTGAACACACTTTTATGATGTAGTAATAATCACTCGCGACATAAAACTTGATTGAAAATTACGTTGTCCATCAGCTGTCATTTCGACAGGTCCGTGTTCTCAACTGTTCCTACCATTTATTTCTTATTCCTTATATTTTTCATTGTGCATCGACCCTCAGGCCCACAGAGGATAATCTAAGGTAGAGGCTCAGTTCTCGGGGTTCGGACGACCCCAAGCTAGAATGAGTATCACTCAGGGTTTTGCATGTAAAATACATGAACGAAAATGTCCAGTATTTTACACGTAAAATACCATGTATATTACACTTGAGGTTTTGGTATGGATAATAGTCTATGTATATTAGTCCATGTATAATATATGTGTATCAATTATACTAGAGGAGAACACCATATCTCAAAATGGCGAGGTATCGATTTTTTAAATCGAAAGTGAAAATATCGATTATCAATGCAAACATTTGTCGAGTATCGATTAGAAAACAATGACAGTTTTTGTTGATGAAAATTAAGCCAGTAATGAGGTTAAATTTTGTGATAAATAAATATAGAAATCAATCACCACACATAACAAAGTGCAAAAATAGTGGAAGTCAATTATACTAAAGGAGAAGACCATATCTCGAAATTGCGGGGTATCGATTTTTTTTTATCAAAAAAGAAAATATCGATTATTAATGCACACAATTGCCGAGTATCGATTAGAAAAAAAATCACAGCTTTTGTTGATGAAAATTGAGCCATTGATGAGGTTAAATTTTGCGATAAATAAATAAATAAATCAATCACCACAGATAAAAAAGTGTAAAAATAGTAGAAGTACCAAAACAGTGCCCATAAAAAAAAGGAGACCAAGATCATTCCATGAGATTTACAATTGACCATTCGTAACGATAGAGTCGAGTTCTCTCTGGAGGTGAAATTGCACAGGGTGAAGTACTTCCCAACATCCAGGCCGTTCGTCTGCCCAAAAAGAACAAGAAAATCAGTTTTTGAATCCATCGAACATTGAAACAATTTTTTTGTTGTGTATCTTCACTTTAATTATATATATGGGATGGGACATTCCATGTCAACTCAGCCACACCGGATTTTTTTTTGTCTGGGAAAAATCATTGAGTAGGTGCATTTTGAACTACTACATATAGCCAGTGATCATGCAAAATTTCATTGATCTGCCACTTTTTGTTTCTGAGATAATCATTACGCAACTTGAAATTTTCAAACATCATTACTTCTCAATGGAGCATCCGATTTTGATAAATAAAAAAAGAAAATTTTAATTTTTTCTCGTACTTCAAGATAAAAAATACTTCAGAGCCGTCAAGAAGCTACTAGACCGGTTTTTCAAGAATTTTTCGTGTTTTCATTTTTTTTTCACTCTAAGGCCGTTCGATATTCGATCGAAATATTTTTTTTTATGATAGAAGATGTCCTTATATGATATGAAAAAAATACGCCATAATGGAAGAGTGAAGCAATGCACCGGAAATTTTTTTTTTTTTGAAATTTTTGGGTTTTTCAGCTTTTAGGGGAGATCCATCGGTTTTTTTCAAAGAAATCAGTCTGTCAACTATTATTCTTTGTTCACATATGATGGCAAAACAGTACGCCATCATGTAAGAGAGAAAGAATGCTATGAAAAAAATTTTTCTTCGAAATTATTACGTTTGTATGTCGTTTAGGAGAGTTGCATTATTATTACTGAAAAAGGGGTTTGTCAATAGACATTTTCTGTTCTGCTGGATAGAATAGACTATTGATACGACTACAAATCTTTTCTCAACAACACACTGTGCTTTCCAATAACGAAAAAGTATGGGAAAAAAACAATTTTTATTCTTCTATAATGACAACATTTTATATTTTCACGTTTTACATTTTTACAATACGGAGAAATTCTCCACTCTCTTCGACGACAAGTGCCAACATGCACTGATGAATTATTTACATCACGATTACTGTCTTGTGCGGATTTTTCGTTTTGTTGTTGTTTGTTTTTGCTTTGGGAAAACCTCCTCGTTAGCCGAAGCCGAATATCGTTTAATTAATAATTGCTCTCCCGGTATCAGAATAAAACAATGGTGTTTTTGAATGGCTGGAATAGCTTTGGCACTATCAAAGCTCTCTCTCAACTCAGTTTTGATATTCTCGTGTTCTGCCTTGGTCAAAAAAAAACATCAATTCCTTCAAAATTCTCTTTTGACCGTCGAAACAAAGCATCTGGCGTGAGGATCGGTACACCATGAACGATTTGCAAGCTGTTACGTCTCGCTTCTCTCTTAAAGACAGCTCCTACTCCGTCAGAAGCTCCTTTATCGTGTNCGAAGCCGAATATCGTTTAATTAATAATTGCTCTCCCGGTATCAGAATAAAACAATGGTGTTTTTGAATGGCTGGAATAGCTTTGGCACTATCAAAGCTCTCTCTCAACTCAGTTTTGATATTCTCGTGTTCTGCCTTGGTCAAAAAAAAACATCAATTNCTCTCTCAACTCAGTTTTGATATTCTCGTGTTCTGCCTTGGTGAAAAAAAAACATCAATTCCTTCAAAATTCTATTTTGACCATCAAAACAAAGCATCTGGGGTGAGGATTGGTTCACCATGAACGATGTGTAAGCTCTTACGTCTCGCTTCTCTTTTAAAGACAGCTCCTACTCCGTCACAAGCTCCTTTACCGTGTGCGGTTGCATGAAAATGGGCTTCCGCATCTATGCCAAAATCAGTCTTGTGATGCAAGAGATTCGTGATCTGAAAACGATTCTTCTAATGTTGTGCAGCTCCATCCGTGACATAGATAATTTTCTGCATACTTTCACAGTTATCTTTCACATGCTGTATTAAAATCTTCTGTATCAAATAAACAGTAGCAGTATCGTGAGTCGTACTGTCCGACAAAACGACTAAACTCCGATGTTGGGTGTCATGTTTTTCGCGATAGCAGTAAAGAATGGGATGAACTGTACACTGGTCATTATTGTAGTGGAAGGATTGAGCAGCATCTTCAGCCACAAAAGCGTAATTTTCCGAAAAATCACAATGCACTAGTACTTCTCCATTATCCAAATTCTCTTTTCGCTGTTTGACAAAAGCCGATTGTTCTTTAGCGATGAAGTGATGGGGNAATAAACAGCGGCAGTATCGTGAGTCGCACTGTCCGACAAAACAACTAAACTCCGATGTTGGATTTCATTTTTTTCGCGATAGTAGTAAACAACGGGTTGAACTGGACACTGGTCATTATTGTAGTGGAAGGATTGAGCAGCATCTTCAGCCACAAAAGCGTAATTTTCCGAAAAATCACAATGCACTAGTACTTGTCCATTATCCAAATTCTCTTCTCGCTGTTTGACAAAAGCCGATTATTCTTTAGCGACGAAGTGATGGGGCTTCAATACTATCAATCGTTCCATTAGAAGATCAATGAATTCATCCATCGGGAGGGTCTGTGTCTTCAAGGTACACCTGTCAGTACTTTGCCACACACGAAGTTCAACCATTTCCACGACAGAATCAGAGAGAAGTTTCTTCAGTTCACATGATAATGATTTCACTCCAGGAGAATCGTTACATTCATCCAGATGACAGGCCGGGGTTGGGTTTGTACACATCAATTTTGCTAGACAATCTTTGTAATCTCTGAGTGGACAGGGGGAATCTTGAGTTAGAGTCGCAATATTAATTGCCTCTAGCATCAATTTGCAATTTTGATGATACGTACAAACACATACCACGTGAGTGCCATTTGCTCCCGCCACTACACATTGTTTAGGTCTCAGCTCGGCAAACTTACTGAAACCGACCTTAGCATCTTCATTCGCATGTTTGTACTTCCGATGAAGGACTTTTAGATTTTCGAGTATCATTCGCTTTTGCTCTACTTTCTTCTCTCCATTGATCTTGATGGATATTTTATCTTTCATTCCTGGCATGACGCGACTGTGCTCTAGGTAAAAATTATATACCTTCTCGACGGTTGTGCTAAGTAGTGACCTGCTTTCGCAATTGGTGAAGCAAACACTCCTTTAATTTTTTTCAATCTTTTTGCTTTTGACGCCATGTATCTGGTAGTTCCAAATTCAGAAGCAATTTCCCGCGCACTCCACGACTGTGCATGAACCGTCAAGATTTGCAGGCGCTCACGGTAGTTTTTCAGATCTTAGAATTTCTGCTTCAAACCATCTAACATTTCTTCTAATTCTATTTCTCTCGCAGATCGATACTGCTTAGATGAAGATGGATCAATGTCACTTTGGTCATCTTCCGAATCATAATCCATGGAAGAACTGTCGAATTCAGCTTCATCGTCTGGTTCGTCGTCGATTGATATGCCGGAATCATTAAGATGGAAAGATCGACCTGATCTCAGAGAACTGTTCATCACATCCAGATTTGGGTCACATGTTTCGGCTTGGAGCATTGATATATCGGGTGGAATTTCCGAACGCTGAAGATGTGTAGCATTAAGTTTAATCGTGGGGAAAGATGGAGGAATAACATAAGTTGGAGCTCTCGTTCGGCATTGACCACAAATTTTCGTAAACAATGGTAAAAAAGGAAATTTCTCGTGTAGTGTC